AATCCATCTTCAACCCATTTCTAAAATCTCTACCAAATCCCTCAATTTCACCTGAACCTCAAGACTGAATTGACTGGCATCAGTAATTTGTATTCAACAAGCAACCCAAACCATACCTTCCTACAAAAGTAAGTGCTTTACTGCCAACCATTCCTCAAGAACCTACGGGAGCCAAGTTTCATTTGTAGCCCAAACTTCTCTGAAAAAAAAATGCTACTTTTCATTTAGAGGATTTTACTTATTTAATACTGTAAGTCCTTTTCTTCCTGTTGATTTATCTTTCTATTGCAGAACTCTTGACATGTATTCAAAAAGGTAACTTTTGTCTTTATGGGAAAAGAAGCTTATTGAATAGCCAAAGGATGTCTCATACAGGAAAGCCACATAAATGGTGCATGAAGCTGTAAGAATCAAGCTGCTAAATGGAAGACCGAGGCTCCGGAACTAACTCAGACTTCCAAGCCCTAGGGGGAATACTGAGAAGCACTGCACATTTGAAGAGGAATTGAAATTGTCAGCGAAAGAACAGAATCTGTTCACCCTCAAGTTCCTAATTAGACAACTCATAGTGGGAAGTGACCACTTAAATGATGAGCACAGAAGATGAAGGAAAATGCCTTCCTTAAGAAACAGGCAAACATCTGCATTAAGAAAATAACATCCTGATTTATAATTCAGATTATAACTCAAATGGTTTCAATTCACACCCACAATTTGGTCAGAAATTTTATATTTTTTTTTTCCAGGAATTCAAACAGAAGAGTGTATTTAAAGTAATGCTGAATACAACTTAGGACATTTTCCTTTAATATTATGTTGATTAAATGTTGAAAATTACAGCTTTAGCTATTTTAAACATGACCCATACACTAATGTGCTGAAGAAATTTACAATGAAGTTAATTTTTAAAATGTCACTAACTTCTGAACAACTTTCCATATCTGCCAGTATTTGAACTTAAGTCCACACTGTATATCTATGCTATGGCTTATATCTATCTCTATGATACCAAAACACTAACGTAGATGGTTAGAATACATGATTAAACAATTCTAAAACTTCAATTTTTGTTTTATTGCATACGTTTTAAACATTTCAGGACTGAATTTCTTCATAGGAACTAAGTATGATAGCAAAAGCTTATCATCCTAGCATAAAATAAGCTACAATGTTAAAAATAATATACAGTAATTCCACTCTGATGTAATTTAGCTTGAAGTATACTGAAGTTAATATCTGATCTGCAAAAATAATATAAATATAAGAGGTCAGAGATAAAAAATAAGTTCCTTTAGCAAGTCCAAAGACTTGCTGATTCCAAGTGTGCCTACATGAGAATGAACAGAATATGTGAATGGATTTAGAAAGTGCAGCTAATGCTGCCCTTCACATTCACATTATTATTAATTGGGGTCATTCAGTAAAGAGTAGAGAAGTTCATTTTCTTGTTGGTAGAGAAACAGACGCTGTCTGCTAGCTTAGAAATATAGTCCTAATGTCAGATGTTTAATAAAATTAAAACATTTAGGGAAAAAATACAACTTTTACCTGAATAATGCCATGTAACTAGGATGTTAGAAAGAAACCAATTATGAGAGATCTTTTTTAGACAGCAAAAACTTGAAGTGATACACTACTAATTAAACAATTACTAGAGTTTAATTAGTTGCATTTGAGATGTGAAAGCCTGCCTGAGGCCAGATGCTCATGGCAATAAAGTGTAGATAAGCCAATTTTGCAGCGATTTTAGGTATTATTAGGTATTTAGTGATTTTAGATATTTTAGGGTGCAATCATCCACACCTTTTTCTAATGAGAATATAAGATAATTTTAAATCTTATGCAATTTACATTATTTGCATCTCTCTGACTTAAAGGTAGGCACATTTATAATGTATTTGTTAAAATATCTTCCTGGTTCTAATAACATTTTCTTGCCTCTGGCTATTCACAGATAATCGAGTTACTGAAAAGACTCCATACATTTTTCTGTAAGTGTGAAACAAAATCTGTGAAAAAGATATACTCCACTGAATTTAAGTCAGTTATATGGAACGCATCAGTAATGCAGGGCTGTCTCTAACTGAATACAGTATATTTCTCATTAAAAATACAAATGTAAAAAAGTGAACTGTCCACAAAGGAATGTTTTTCTTTAATCTTAATAAGAGCAATAACTTCATAGGAAATCTCTATTCTAATTAATCAGTCCCATGCACAAACAACCATGCTACTGTTACCTTTACTTGTTGCACCTTACTCCACAGGTTGTCCCATTGAACTTTACTGATAAAAACTGAGGTAATGCTTAAGTTTTCTCACTCTGAAAACGGAGGTAATACTCTACAGATAATTATATCAGTGCTGCCCTTGCCCCCAGTAGCACAGTGGAGGAAGGTGCTATTCCTGCCTCAGGAAGGATATTTAAATCAGACCTCTAAGCATTTCTTCAGTGATACTGAGAACAAATTGTCACTCTTGTCATTCCCAAAAGAACTTTTTGCCTTAGTCTGCTCTAATACGTTTGGTTTTTGGTAAGGTTGGTCTTCTTGTCCTTTCTAAACACATATGAGACCAAGAATTTCCTACCAGAGGCAGTAACGAAACTCTCAAATGGACTCGCTAGAAAGAATCTCTTATAAAGCTTTGTACGTGACCAGCTAAGTGCTCAACACTACTTTGAAATTACATAGAAATGAGGCTGCATTTACAAATCGCCTTGCTCTGGGCTGAAACACACAAACCAGGAAGCGCAGTCTCCAGACGCGCCGGCGGATCACCACGCTCTTCGGCAATGACCCATTCACAGACCCCTGCGTGTGAAGTGGCATTGCTTCTTGCACACTAGAAATACCTAATGATGAAAACCTGCCTGCCCCATATAGTCTTCCTTTCTCACGAGGCCCTAGGAGCCGTAACACTGGCACTATGCAATCATTTTATTTTTGTTACGAGAAAACAAAATCACATCTTAATAAAACATTTACTCTCATAAGCAAATAATGCCAGGTGACATCACACCAAGCTATTGGATGGATTTTCAAATAGGAAGATATTCAGATGAAATCTGAATAAATCTGTCTAATAACCTGTATCATGTATTCGTTCTTGGGAACAATCACTCCATTGAACACCCTAAGCAGTCTAGCTCATGAGTGTTCAGAATGAACCATCATTGAGACCAAATCATCTATCACTCTCAGAAACGGTGTCCCCTTCAGGTCAGCTCTGAGAACAATAGTGCAACAGTCTAGAGACAAAAATGTAGCAACAGCTTGTACTATACCTCATGTGTGAGTAAAAAAACATGTTGTTTTCTCCTACTGAAGCTCTTTTAAATTCATGAGTGTAACTCATGTGCCTACATAGGCACACACACACAACTCATGTGCTTACATAGGCACACCAAGTAGTTGAATGTTACATTATACATAAATACCTTATCTCTTAATTTAATCTTACATGAGATTAAATTAATAAGGAAACAAAAGTTTCACTAGAAAATTTATGTTTGTGCCTTCCATTGTTTAGTGCATGGTAGGATCATATGAACATGAAAGTTAGGCTCCAATATGGAATCGTGTTTTATTGCATTACATCAGAGTATGCTGACCAATATCCACACATTTCTATATACCTGTGCACACACATGCAAACACCTGGTAACTTCATCTTTTAAATAGGCTTGGGGGTACACTTGATTTTAGCAAACAGGCTGGGAACACATGAAAGACATTATGAAAACTTATCAAAAGTTTTACAATAGGTCATTCTTTGCCAAACTAGCATAAGAAAAATGTATTAGTGTATCTCTACTAGTTTTGTTTTGGTTTTAGAAATACATATTTTTAAAATGCAAAAGGTCACATCAAAAATTAGCAATATCTTTATAAGGATGATATATTTTTGTTAAAGGTCAATCACATTCAGCACATTTAATGTTGAATTATTCTATTAAACTTTAGGAAAGGAGGTACAAACACACAAAGTATAAAAATAAACAGTTTCTACTAATTGGTAGAACTTAGTATGAAATTGCTCTCACTCTTAGTAACCTAACACTGATCTTTGTTTATCAAGCCCATGGTTTCAGAAGCAGCACCACCTATTGGATGAAAAATGTAGGTTAGTACCTACTTTATCACTGAGACCTATTGTAGAGTCAGTTTTGTGCACAGAGGGCTGAAGATCCTAAGTTTTTCGTACTTCAGTACAAGCAAACAACTAATATTTTCTGTTGGCCAGACTGACAAAGGCTCATAGGTTCAAAACAAGCATTTGGTGTAACCCAAAGCTCTCACTTAAGCTCTTAATATTTATTTGACAAAGTATTGAAGACTGCGCTTGCAACAGCATCAGCCGACTCACAGGGGTTACGTATGATATTGAACAACAGAACGCTGCATGACTTTTAGGATGGGCTCCAGTTGCGCAGATTTGAATGAGTTTAAAATTAATTTGGCTATATCAGTAATCCTTTAAAATCAGTAAAGGAATGCACATTCTATATGGAAAATGGGTCCCATGTGGAGGAATGAATGAACCGTATTTTGCTTTTAAGCAAATAGCAGCAGCTACAGCTCCTCTTAGGGCAATTCCAGACTTTGCCAGGTCTTGGAAAGCAAGTCTTTTTTTTAGCCTGCAGTGCTGCACCCATTCCCGGCTCGCTTAAAAGCCGTTAGCACAAGAGGCTACGGTGAGAGGCTCCAGGGGCCCATCTCCGCGGCGGCCGCACGGATGGCCCCGCATCCCAGGACCGGCTATAGCCCAGCGGTTACTTCGGCTGATTGCAAATGTCTCTGTGTGAGTGTGGCGGCAAAAACGGACGGGAGCAGCGTTCCCGTCCGTGATGCTGGCGGTGCGTTTCCATGGTGCAAAAGCCACGGAGATTGCGCCTGGATCCCCACACAAAAGCGCGTCGGGAGGGGAGAAAGCCCCTGGAGCTGGAGGAGAAAACTTGGCTGGCAAGGCAAGGATTAATGGCTGCAGATCTCACTCACCCACTCTGAGGATACAGACGAGTTGGATACAAGCGACCAGGCGCCCTAGAATGAGCATGTCCAAAGCGTCCCGTTCCG